TTGCAAGACAAGCCATCTTACCACGTCTAAAATCAAAAGGATTTCAAGCTGTTCCCATAGACCACATTCAAAGGCAGAGTAAAGTCTAAACCCAGTTTAATTTGGCACCTTTGCAGATGTGGCCAATCACAGAACTAAGGTCGGACTGTAACTTTTTGGAGACTTACAGAAATAGTGGGTCACAGCTGCCCCCAAATTCCAAGCACATGAAATGCAGTTGGAGGTGGTCACTAAAGGTATTCGGCAGCAGCTATTCCGGTTTAGTAGCCACAACATCATCTGCCGTTGCTCGTGTACCAAGCCCATCACCATTCTATCCATACCAGATCATTTCTATCCATCTCTGTTAGTCTCTCTCTTCCTCTCCCTCTGTCTGTCTGACACCCCAATGACTGTTATTTACTACCCATCAGCCCCTGCTGCAGCCAGGCATGCCAAGGCTGGCCACTCTGTCCTCAAACAAACCCTCTCTCTCTCCTTTCATTACCCCTGCTTTCTTACTAGGCGATGCCTCTCTCTCTTTTTATGCTGCTGTCTGGCACTTTCTCTGTCTCATTTCTTCCTCTGACTTGCCTTCTGTCTGTTGTTTTTTCCACCCAGTTCTCCATTCTGTTTGTTTTTTCCCTCTGTCCATGTCACTGTTTACACACACACACACACACACACACACACAAACAAACGCTACTGTCACCAGAAGCAGAGGACTCTCTCTAGACACCTCTGTCTGGCGACATCCAGGCGACACCGGACTGTTTGTGCGTGTCCGAGTTAGTGCTTGTGCATGTGTGTAGGTGCCTTTGTTTACGTGTTCAGATGCAGAGATGGCTTTACACATGTCAGCTCCTCTGTATGCTTTTAAATCCAGCTTCATATCAGCACACAAATAAAGGCTGTTTTCACTAATTAGAGAGTGAAAAGATGGAGAGAGGAGGCAGCACAGCGAGGCTGAGAGAGGGAGGGAGGGGGACTGGGATGACGTGAGAGAGTTTGTGAAAGGGGGGGTGGTGGGAATGAATGAGAAGGTGTGGATACAGGAAGGCAGCAGAATGAGGAAAAAGAGGAAGAGAGAGAGACTTAAGAAGGAATTAAAGATGCAACCATGTGGACATGTTTGTCAACTTTGCCCTAAAGCCGTGTGGAGGGGTGGGGGCTTGTGTTTGCAATTTAAGCCACTTACAGCTGTGGAGCCTAATTAGCCTTCAACAACGTACTCATTAGTCTGGTTTCTATACAAGACCAAAGAGGGACCTTCAGGTTTCCACTGCAGGGCCAAAGTGGGATGGTCTAGTTTTTATTAGATAGTCAAAGTAGGAAAGCAGGAAAGTCCAGTTCACTTTCCTCTTCAGGGTCGAAGTGGGATAGTTTGTTTGTTACTAGCGGGATAAATAAGTCAGAATTGCTCAGGAGAAGAGAAACTCTGAACATGTACAATCCCATAACATGTGGACAAAGTGGTGATGATGAGAGCTACTACATGGACCTTTGAGTTAGGCTGCTTTGTCAAGTGATGCTCAAGCAAATCTCTCTCCAAGACCAACAACGACCAAAAGCTCAACCACAAACTCAGTTCATCACCGGACTCTTCGCCATCCAATACAGCAGAGTGAAAGCGTAGAATCCTAAAACACGAGTGAGTGTCTGATGAGCAGCAACAGTCCACAACGTTACTCTGCTTTCACCAAACCAAACATGCTGATGCTTCCTTAAAGAAAAATGAGTGACTCAACCCGATTCCTGAAATGTGTGTCTGGCTTTCACACCACGACATTTAAGAAGGTTTTATATGGACAAAGTGAAGATTAAAAAAAAGTAAATCATGCTTACAGCTCAGTCAATACCTGTTCATTCTGAATCAAGAGAATTGTTAAGCTCAATATAAATACTGACTTCAACTACTGTGTTAGTGACATGAACTGTATTGTTATGAGTATATTTTGCCATATTCACCAGCAGCTATAACCAGAGGCCAGTGTGGACAGGAGCAGCACAGCTTCAAAGATTTCTTACCTCGATGACGTGTTGGAGGTTTGTTCAGACGCTCTCCTGTACGCCTTCGTTTAACCACGTCACTGCTGCTGGTTCTTCGCTCTTCCCTCAATCCTGCATCAGAACAATTAACACAGAGATAATTGATCACTACAAATGTCTGCACCAGCTTTCAAGCTTTTATTATCCCCACAACATTTGTGTAATAAAAGGCCACAACAGAAAAATGCTTCCAGGATTTGCAAGTTACTCATTCTGGCCTACAACAATCGAAACCCAAGTGAACTGAAATCAAACCTGGACAAACCAACTGCTTTACAGATACATAAAACACCTCAGGGACTTTTTATCCCCGAAGTCATTTTCTCAGGCATGGTTTACTGCCGGGCTGTGAAACCCTCCACACAAGTTGGCCAACAACACCAAACTTTCTACATAAACTGAATCATTTGGAACCCAGTACTTCATAGCAACAACAGCTTCATTCATGATGGAGCTCGCGGGGAGTGCAGAACAGCCTGCATGTAAACAATATGAATGTTAAAGAAACGCTCCCTAAAAAGCAACATTTCTCTCAACTTATCCAGGATGTGATGATTTACCCCACATACATAGACATTAAAATCTAAATGTATTATCGGACATTTGTTTTAAACATTCGATGTTGCTTTAAAGTGAAGGAAAATCAGCTGAGATGTTCAAGCTGATCATTACATACTGATGGTTCCCACCTCAACCTTTTCCTGAACAGGACTGGGATTCAATGCTTTCAACTGGTGTCTGAACTACAGCTGAATGACAAACTCGTTTTACCAGTTTTATCACCGGTCACCAAACCTAGTAGCAACTGTTACAGCGTAGCATTGCTAATACAAACATTTACACTCTTGTACCATTTTTAAATATTTATCTCCTAGCATTTACCAATCCTACTACTGCTAACAGCCAATCAATTCAGTATGGCGTATCGACACATAACATGGTGGGGGACAGAGATGCTCCCAAACAGAACCCTAGCACTGGTTTCAAGTGGGTGACTGACCCAATACAGCATGTGTGCTACGTAGCCCATGTGAGAATACCCATGAGCCTAAAACACTGCAGGAGTGGATACTGTTAGGTTGGTGTTCCTGGTGTCAAAGCCTCATTATGCAAGCATATGGCGTGGTGGGCACACAATCCAGAGGTGAAGAGGAGCAGAAACCAGTCTGACTCAGCAGTCCTGCTGCTGAATTAAAGCTGCAGGTTGTTCCTGGCTCTACTTTTTAACATGGTAAAGCAGAAGCCACTAAAACTCCCCTGACTTGCCTTCATATATTTAAGCTTTTTTTATTGACCACCAGAGGATTTATGCCAACTTTAAACAGTAGAGACTCGTTCTTTAAACTCTTTCCAGTTAAGACGTGTCGTCTGAGGGCGAGCAGCCTGTTTTTTGCGGGTCACTGAGCAGCTCTAATGGATCTGTATGGGTTTGGTCAAACACTTTGCTCAAAAGCATCTCTTGCAGTTGTTGAGCAGCTGCCAGGACAACATTACCACTGTCCGACCTGGTGAGCAGCGTAAACCGCCGATCAAAAAATGGAACGTGGTCAGCATAAAGATTCATATTTAGAGATATCTAAGTGTTGAGTTTGACATCAGTCGATCATTAACACTACAATGTGGAGACGGTGTAATTACTGCCAGCCTCTACCCTGACACAGAATTAATTCAGGTGATGTGTACATGTGCCCAAATTGGAGGGAAACATCTTCAGGGTGTTGTTTTAATTAGCTGCTTGGTAAATTAAACACACTGCTCTTCTGTACATCTCTGAAACATATACAAATATAAACTATTGTTGTCAGAATGTAACATTTAATGATTAGTGGCAGACAGTGACTTTTTTTTCATGTGCAAACGATAAAACTCATTTTTCTACTTGGTTTGTGGCACCTCTCGGAAGCAGCAGAAGGAATACCTCAGTTATGTACATTGACAAACCTCAGACATAAAATAACGCTCAGAGAGCTTTAGACTAACTAAAGTGCAGCTGTTAGAACTTGAATCATAAATGAATTGTTTCAAATATAGAACCAACCCTACGGTCAGCTGGAACATCGACAACGTCTGCACCTGGCAGCTATGGTGCTGCGAGGGCAAAGATGGTGGTTGAGGCAAATAAAATGAGGTTAGAGTACGAATAGGGGTGTGCAACTAAAACACTTGGTTAAGGTTAGAGAACAATATGGTGAATACAAAGACATTAAGTGCAGGTCAGAAACAGGACACAAACTCTGGTCTCCTGCAAGAAAACTGGACACACTCGTTCCTGTTGGTTTGGATGCAAGCTCATCCAATATGGACATGATTCCCTACTGACACTGGGTTGTATACACCAAGGAACATCACAGCAACTCCAAGTCTGCATGAAGCTGCTCTGCTGCTGACTGTTGTTGACAGAGACCTGAGGAACAGTACAACTGGAACATCTGGAGTTGGTGTTTACACAAAGAAAGAGCGCAGAGGAAAATCTGTATTTTTATTTGCAGTGCCTCAGTGTGGACACAGTCACTCCACCTTCTCCTACTTCACTTTGAATGGTTGATTATTTGAAAGATCCCCTCCCCACTCTCCTTGTCCACACCGATGCTTTGCCCCCATTGTTCTCTTGCTTTCACTGACACACACACACACACACACACACACACACACACACACACACACACACAGGTCCAAAACAATGCCTGAAACTAAATGGAGCAGCCACCACAAGGGGAGTTTTAAGCTGTTGGCGCCCAAAATCAATGTCTCTCTGTCTTTCTCTCTCTCCGTCATCCTTTTCTTTGAATCTCGTCTTTTTTGAACGCAGAGAAAAGCTGGCGCACGTGTACGTAGTTTTTAAGCGTTTGCGCAGAAAAGGTCTTTAAACCATCTTAACTGGGGGATAAAATGGGGGGTCTGCAGAGGGGCGGGGATGATGGTGGTCTTCGTGGTTGCTAGGGGCAACGATAGGGGAGCGAGCGAGGTAGAAGGCGTCCTGTGCATGAGTGCGTACGTGTGAGTGCACAAGTGTGTGTATGTGTCGGTGAGCGTACCCTCGCGCCAATTTCATCTCACACAATTGGTTGAGAGCAAGAGAGAGAAAGAGAGAGAGGGGGAGAGGGAGAGAGAGAATGGCTGGTAGGATTTAGCCCTGGCAGCGTCTTTTCCTGTTCACCACAACAAGCTCATTACCTTTCTCTCTACGCGCTTGGAAACGGATTTACGCACACGTAAGGAGGTTGGTTTGATTCATTTATTTATCTCTTCTCCGCTCTCATCACCTCCCTGCTCTGTCCATTCATCGCTACCTTTGATTTATGCTTTTATCACCTCTTAAATTAACCCTTTTATTTGTCCCGTCGATTGCAGTCGGAGGCTACAGGTCGCGGGAATGCGTTTAATGGCGATGAACTGGCGCGTAATGTGTTGTGAACGGTCAAATGAACGTAGTCATAGTGAAACCGTTGAGGTTTTACTGACTGGGGGGCAAGGGGGTTTAGTTTTGACAGGCTTTTGGAGGGTCACCAGTGTGCGCGAGGAGACAGAGAGAGTGGTGGTTGATGGTGGCGGAGGGGGACAATGAACGGGGCTGTTGTTTGGCGACGCTGCGCGCCTCTTACTCAAAGCCCGTTGATCTGGTTGCTTGTGGAAGCAACTGGGACTGCGGTTTAAATACTTGAAATATTACCAGTTTGCGATCAAACACCTCGGGTCAGTCGTATGGCCCGGACCAATCACGGCAGAGGTCGGATCAATCGCACAGACTGGCACCGATGTGGGTGTCTGGTTGTGTATTTGTGTGCCATTTATGGGGCAACAGAGGACAATAATGTCAATATGATACATTATGTTAATGTGGGGCTCAACAGGGACCTTTTAATTTCATGCAGGGCTGTAGAGCTCCTCTATGATATTTCTATACAGTACAGGGGCGTTTGTTTCTTTCGGGGACGCACAGATTGTACAGGCAGATGTTAAATCTGCTTCTGTGCATCTGACGTGCGTGCGTGCGTGTGTGTGTGTGTGTGTGTGTGTGTGTGTGTGTCGGCGCATACAGACAAATACCACATCCCCAGGCGCACAGAGCTGTTTATGCGCCCTGACAACAATAACAATCACCGTGCATTGAAACCGACTGTATTATACAATGCGCGCGCAGAAATAGAGAGTGAGAAGGGGGCGGGGGGCGACGGTCTCAGCCATTTTCGATGAAGCGCAGGTAAAAACGCGCGCACATGGCGACAGACAGACAGACTGAAATCATAATCACAGACAGGTCGGCGTGTGAAAGGTAACCGAGGTCAGTGTCGGGAAAACGGAGCCACTGGCAGTTTTACAGTGAAACGGTCCATCAACGTTAATATGATTAATATCATCAATAACCAGAGTATCTTTGATGTGAGGAGGCTGGAGGTCTGGACCAGTATCCTCCACAACAGACAAGGGGGCTGCTTGTTGGGAATTTGGCGCTTCACTTGTTTTGCTCAGAGAGGAATTCACTGAGCCCCCCACCCCCTACCCCTCACTGTTGTTGTTGATGCTGTCCAAGCCTTCACCCCCACCCCCTCCTGCTGTTTTATCACTATTGATTATTGTGATTATCCCTCTGGACTGACTGGTTAATTGATCGTTTAACGGGCTGTAATGGCCGTGCATGTGCACTTGTCTCCCCGTGGCGTCACACTCAGCCGTCTATTGTTCCCCGTGTGACTCTGATGGTGAAAAACAAGTTTAAATGTGTTCATTAAGCCAAATGAGTCAGCTCACAACAATGTCCCTATTGAAAAGCCGCTATGATCGTTTAATAATAGCGTTGTAGTGTCATAAAGTGTCTAGCCAGTCTAGTCAGCAAGAAAAGTCTAGTGACCTTCTGCATGAATATTCGAATCTGGATTTTTATTCTTGCTTCAAATATTGTTAATCATCTTTTAATAATGACAAGCCGCCCATAGGAACTGTGTGTTCTTATACATGTTGGCCTGATTTTGGAAGGATGCATGGGGAAAGGAGCACACCAATAAAAACATGTCGCCATATTAGAATCTTTTTTGCCCCCACCCCCACCCCGATGGGGGGGAGGATGCTCAGAGGAGCTCATTAGCAATGCAAATCTTTTTTTTTTTTTTTTTGGGCTCGTGCACCTGCTGTCTCGAGCACGCGCGTGGCTGGATGGCTGACTGCACCCCCCCATACCTCGTGAGCGCGCCTCCCATCTCCCTCCTCCTTCTCATTAAAATTATGTTCCATTTCCACGGCGCGCACACGCAGTTGGAGCTTTGACGGCTTTAAAAAAAAAATAGAAAAGGAGAAGCTGGAGCTCTTCACTCGCCTTTAAAATCGTGTCCGTGTGCGTGGAGCTCACAAGCGGCAGCATCTTTTAGCTTAACAGAGGAGGAGGAGGGGAGAAGGTGATTTTTAAAAGGAGAACTGGTTTAAAAGAAAGAAAGTACAAGAGTGGAAACAAAAGAAAAGAGTAAAGAATTTAAGCATTAAATATTTAGCGAACATTTATACATAATATATATAAGCAGATATGATTTAAGTGTTTGTTAATGCAACGGCGTAGTGTAACAGTGGTTAGTGCCGTCACCTCACAGAAGGTTCCGGGTTCGAGTCCCAGCATTTCTGTGTGGAGTCTGCATGTTCTCCCTGAGCCTACATGGGTTCTCTCCAGGTACCCCAGCTTCCTCTCACAGTCCAAAGACATGCAGCTTAGGTTGACTGGTGACTCTAAACTGTCTCTATGTGACTGTGTGTGGTTGTCTGTCTCTAAGTGTCAACCCTGTGACAGACTGGCGACCTGTCCAGGGTGGACCCCGCCTCTCACCCAATGTCAGCTGGGATTGCCTCCAGCCCCCCGTGACCTTATTCAGGAATGAGCGATATAGATGATGGATGGATTTTTATTAAAGCACAGTGCTTCCTCAGCAACAACTCCTATAAAAACATTTCACTTACTTATCTATACCTGTAGACTATTGGCATTTATCTGTTTATACAGCAGCCTCCAACTACAGGTGGAGATTTAAGTGTTTATTTTTTATCTACAAGTTTTAGAAACCATTTATAAAGTATTTATAGAGCTGTGCTTATAAATTGTAATGGAGGAAGTGATGTGGAGGTAAATTTAATCTTAAACACAGCAACCCTGCAATATCAGAAGTACAAGAAGTCATTATTCAGAACCAGGAATAATCCCTGTTATTAATATATCATAGTGTATGCTTCAAGATTTTAATGCTGTAGTTTGTCAGGTTAAGCCCATTTTATCTAAATTGTTTATGATTTGATTGGATTTAGTTTTTTTTTAAATCTAATTCTGCAAAGTAACTAGTAACCTAATGCAGCTGTCAGATTAATGTAGTGCAATAAAAAGTACAATACGTCTCTCAGAAACGTGGAACAGAGAGAACAAATACCTTAACGTGGCCCTGACAGAGAACACTCATGTAAATCTTTGTTACATTTCACCACATGGCGATTTTTCATTTTGTAGGAATTGATTGTAAACATCATTTTGAACTGATGACGTGTCAGAAATCGGCTTCAGCTGTAAAACACAGTTACACAGCATATGTTTAACAGGACGCCTGAGCTGTTTGGGGTCTAGCATCACTAGTACGTAGGCCACCGTTCACTTCTTGGTCTGTGAGTAACATTTTGGACAACAAAAGCAGTATTTGTTTATGTACAGTCCATTAAACACAGTATTTTGTCACTGTCAGTAAATGGGCCATTTATTGCAAAAAGAGGGGTCAGTAGTCTTCTACAGCTGACTTTGACGCAGAGACAAACAAAAAAGGTGGAAGGACAGTGGACAGAAGACATGAACAAGACACAATAAGCAAAAAGAGAAGATCGATGATGTTGAACTATGAAATGAAGATGAGAGGAGCAAGGTATAAAGAGGGACATGCCAGGACAGGAATGAAGAGGAGTATAGAATGGATGATGGATTTAAATGGAAAAGAAATGAGAGGAAAGTGTACAGAGACTGACAACGGGAGGATGACAGGACCAACTAAAGGATCACAGAGAAACTAGACGTGACAAGAGGTGGAAAAGAAGAAAAGAAAAGACGTGAAGATGAAGAATGAGATATAAAGGGAAAGGGAAGGAAGACAATAGAGAAGGTGCCAAGAATGTAAAGTAGTAACAGTACAAAATGTATGGAGGGAGGAAAAAAGGAAGCAAACAAAGGAACCAAGGAGACAATGTTTGAGCACAGGAGGAGATTAAACAAGTAAAAGAGAAGCTATGAAGGAAAAAGAATAAGAACAAGACAAAAAATAGACATAACAGAACAAGACAACTTTAGGAGGAGAAGGGAGGAAATGACAATACAGGAGGAGGAGAAGATGGAAGTGAAGAGGAGGAAAGGAGAAGTTAGACAAGGTGAAGGAGGACAACATAGAAGCAGAGGGGGCAGAAGCAGACAAGCAAAGAAAAATCTAATGAAAGATGGGAAGGCTGGTCAAATATGATGAGAAAAAGAAGCTAACGTGATGAGAGAGTATGACAGAGGAGGAAAGAAGGACAAGAGGATGATGATTACCAGAAGAAGAGAAACTGGAGGGAAAGAAAGAGCTGGAGTTTAGTGGACAAATAAAACATGGAGCTGAGCGAAGAGGAGGAAGAGGAGGAAGGCTGTGTTCAGAGTCAGCAGTGTGCACGGCAGCTACCTGTGACAAATCAGATGAGCAGGCTGAGGAAAATGGTTGTAGAGACACTGAACACCGCAGGAGGACAAGGAGCACATCGCTCACATCACATGCACATCATGAGACATGAAACTACACACAACCTGTGTGTAGAAACAACCCCCCTCATTCCAGTGGTGCACAGGAACACAAGTTCCCTTTGACCCCGCAGCCTGATGGTGGCTACATTTGTAGTTGGATTGCACTGCAGAGTAATGATGGTGCAAAAACAACTGGATGTGAAATGTTTAAAACTTAAATGTTAAACATCAGACATGAACCGCTTCATTTTCTACATGGCACACAGGACACAGTCCATTTCTCCTCAGACACACGTGGCTGCCGCTGACCTCCAGTATTTTTAGATTTCACTTTCAAAAGAACATGTCAAAGTTTTCCCCGGGAAACATTAGCAGAGGTGAGCCAACAAGATCCCCACACATCTTGGCTTGTCTAGTTAGTGCATCTCACCAAACATCTGGCCTTCGTTTCAGTGCCTCTGCCCTGGAAGGTTAATGTTCTACTTCATAAACGTTTC